AGGTCGTCATTCACTTCTAGTATACTTATTATGTAAGTATATGAAGCAGGGTTCGATCTACGCTAATAACAGAAATGTCAAAAAAGATTTTAAAATTTATTGTGACTATGTCATAGTATGGATAAAACAATTATTTAACAATCTTAGTACACTACTGGAAACATTAACCTGGATGCACACATTTTTAAAGCAATTTAAGATAAATGACTTCTTACTTCTTTATATCTATGACTAGTATCAGAAAATATTCAAAATGCACACAAAACATTAATTATAATGGATTACACGAAGGAAATATTAAGAGCGGACATTTAGCAGTTACAACAGAACAGTCGTTTCAATTTTGAGAACATAGCGATCCTGATTTGTTTATCAAATATTATATAGACAAGCGGATTGAGAACACCTATTGCATACATACAAGCGACAGAAGCCTGAATAACAGCTGCTAAAATAGCACTATTGCCAGAAGCGTGTGTAAATGTTTGCCCCATTGCTGCTAAGATCATAGTAGAAAATAAATGAGGGATTCCTATCCCTACATAACAACATGTTATAAATATTAGCATTTTGTTAAATTTCATTCTTTTCATGAAATCATCTTGAAGCTGCTCCGATGTCCAAAATCCAGGCCTGGTATAATTTCTTTGAAAGATTATAATTTTTGTATAAGCGATAATAATGATGGTAACAGGAATAATATAAGTCAGAGTTACTAAATGGAAAATATATATCGAAACAGAAAGGTCCTTAACAGCATAATCACAAACAGAAAGTTTGCCAGGGATCGCAGTTAGAAACACTAGGATTGGTGATGCAATCGATATCGATGCTATCCAAATAAAGATTTGAGTTAAAATGAGAAATTTTTTTTTATGGCATTTATAAAACATCGAGAGTGGTCTAATGACAACGAAATAGCGATCCACTGCGATTAATGCTAATGTCATAGTAGAAATGGAAGTAGATACATAATTGCTAGAAAAGCTGATTTTACACACAATGGCGCTGAGCTTATAATCTCTCTCAATCCAAAAAAGGACTATCACAGGAAGAAATGTTATCCCACCGATAGCATCAGATATTGCTGCCATTCGTATTAGACGATAAGTTGTTTTACGGAAGTTAGGATCAGTAAATAAAATTCTGATCAGTAATAAATTTAATGTTATTCCTAGTATAAATACTGGAAAGCTACTAAAAGCAACAACGCGGACAGTCATGATCGGAATGGCTTTAGTTTCATTCGAAGTATTTGAAGTGTTCATGTTTTCTATATTTCCTTTTGTAAACTTGAAAAGTTCGATAGACGGGATGCTATATCCGACAAGGAGAAAATAACTGAGATATAAAATCGAATACGTACGGTATATATATTTTCAATCATTTACAAAATTTAATTGCAGCAATTCTATATTTGGTGTTTATCAATTCCTACGGAAAAATAAGTCAATAAGCGTATGAATAGAACATTTACATCAATATCATTATTGTAAAAATCTATCATACGTTAATAGTAGTGAAGAGCGTGGAGATAGATATGATATTGGTCGAGTGTGTGTTTTGAAGGCGTTTTATTTAAGCGATAGTACGCGTATTACAAGCTTGACTAACGTGTAACAGTTAGTATCAAGACGTGGCGTGAAGTAAAGTGATGTAAAGTGAATGG